AAAAAATGAAAAACAGGAACAAATATTTTTTTCTCACATACAATGAGATCAGATTGAACGGACAAGTCAGGATATGAGAAGCATTGAGACTGGTAGAAGTAAAATCGGACACGGTGAACCTGAGAAAACAAGTCATATCAAATATTGCTCGTGACCATACCTTTTGTCAGCGTGCCCTCCTTACGTTCTTTTCAGCCTTCTTTTTTTAGTTTTTATGATCGACGTCTACCTCTGAAAGACTTCTGTTTACACCCTTTCTCCGTATCCTTTCATTGCGTGTGGTGCCCAGCAAGCATTCATATACACACTGCTACCCCCACCTTAGCAATCTTACTGCACCGGCCAAACAATACAGATCAGACAAACTTTTTGCTGTTTAGTTTAATGGCTCGTGCACCTAATATGTCAGATTTGAGATACAACTACCTCGCTCTATACCCAGCGAGACAGTTGAGGTAACAAAAAACGAAATACCAACTAGCGATGAAAAGCAAAATAGTGAAACATATTTTGCAGAAAATGGAGACAGAGAGAAAACACGTACGTTTATTAAGGAACATACAAGAGTGGCTCGTTAAAAACTACATCAACAAGGGCCAGGGACATGGGGTACAAGAGAGGATAAAGATCAATTATATTTAAATATTATGGTGTGTCAAATGCAAGCTTGGTGCAAGTGGTGGGAGGATGAAGCAGACATCTAATTCAGATATTGATCCACCTTTGCATGTAATAAAACCTAAAGAAAAAGGAGGAGGAGGGGTGCGGGTAGGAGGAGATGCTCGCTCTATATTCGGCAATTTCTCGCCGGCTGCTCTCGGTTTCACGGTGAAACCGGGCTGCGGTTAATAGCGGCTCAGATCACGTGATCTCTACAGCTCCTCGAACAGGCCGCACAGCCTCTCCCCCTCGTGCTGCACCGCTTATCTCGGTTTCCTCGTTAAGGGGTCTACCTGAGCCGGGCTTTGTGCTGCGGCGGCGGCCGCCGCCGACGCTTTGGTTCAGGAAGCGGGAGGGGGGGTCACTCCGTCGGAGATTCGGGCAATCAAAACACACGCTCCTGCCCTGGCCGTGCGAAAGGGGACGAGCCGAGTGGGCAGGAAAGTGCGGCCGGCTTTGTCCCCCGCGCCCTCGGATCGCTGTTGGTGCTGTTGTGCCGTGCTCTATCTCTGCCGGACACCTTCGCCCCAGAGGGACCTGTACTCGCCGAGGAGCCTTCTACGTGGAGCTTTATTTCGCGTCCTTGCCGGCGGCCTCTTCGTCATGTGAGTGATTGGATTTAAAATAGGGCGGGACCTATTGCGGGAGCGTGGAGATTTGTTTAATGGATGAAGATATGTCACGGTCCTCAATATAGTGTTAGAGCTTGTGTATTGCACGATGCATACTGACCGTGTCACTGGTGTCGAAAGACGCCATCACACTAGTCGTACATCGTACAAAGCAGACGGTGTTCACTAGATCTGTCATGATGAGAGACCTATCTGTGCCTATAGGGAGTATTCACTAGCGGCCATAGCCGTGTGCGCGACTGCTGAGCGCGTGCTGATGGCGAGCTTCCACAGTTCTTTTGCAACGTGCATTCCGCACCGTCTAGAGTGCCGGTCTTAGCAGCCTATTGATGTGAGCTCGTTCTGAGCATGCGCACTAAACAGCACCCACAAATATGGCGTCTAGTGAATACTCCTTATAGCAGCTTCAAAGCATGATTACTTCATACACATATGCATACCTCGAGCATAGCTCCAGACAGTTCTTGTATGACCATTCTGACATGAGCGTACTACAATGATGTATTATGACGTATTATCAGTGTGACCACCGCTTTAGGAAGTCGATAAAAATATGCTGTCACGTGCGCGTTTCAACTCTATGTTAGCTTATGTTTAGGAGCGGCGAGACCGAGGTCGTTGTGCTGGCACCGCACGGAGAAAAATGTAAACTGTACTTTGTTTCACTGCGACTGCGAGCGCGGCCGACGGTATACCCGCTGATGGGACCGATGAACATCGTCATAGGCTCGACAACGTGACATCCGTCTTCTTTCCCTAGGTATTTTATCGTATGCTTGGGAGAAGAGCGTGTTGGTTTTGGTCATGGATGAAGAAAGAATAAAACAATTAAAACAGGGACAACACAACCACATCTTTCATTTATCGTCTGCTAGACAAATCAAGCGCAGTGAATGCCCGATGACTTCCGCTTTTAGTGTTTGTATGTTTTCGAGCCTTTGACTGCGCTTCGACTTATGATAAGCAAAGTACGTCCAAGGAACAAAGCTCAAGCATTTGAGCAGACTAATCCATAGCCAACGCTTACTAAATGTCCGATACGATGGTCTTCGGTCCTGTCACGGACTTTCGATAAACACGGGGGGGGGGGGGGGGGGGGGGGTTAGGCCTAAAATTACTCGAGCGATAGGGCCTTCGAACATAATGTGATCTCGTTCTTGGACAAATTGCATACCATATAGGCGGCTAGTAAAAAATATGCAGAGGCCTTACTTAATACATAACGTAGATGACGTGACATCCGACAGCAGTTCGGGCTTCATTTGTGGGCTTGTGCCGACAGTACAATAAATCTTGATTGGTTTTGGTTGCGTACAAAATACAAGATCAGCTACATGTAGGAATGCAAAGACCTTGAAGTAGAGGTATTTCCCGAAGGGTCTGCTGAACACTTCAATTGCTCGAGGCACTTCAGCCGCAATGTGGCTAAAGGTATGTTTGTTTTCTGTAGTCAGCGAACGCAGGCACATGAATTTTGTAACCAAGGATAGAAATGCGCATGGGTTGCGCATGTTCGCTGACTACCAAAGCTCAAAATGTTCGTGCACCCTTTGAGCACACCATTATCTCGACGAGTAGAAGCATGAGTGCGCGTGCATAGCTTTGATCGGCGCTCAAACACGCCATCGTAATGAAAAAGGGGGGGGGGGGGCGGGGGGGGGGGGGGGAGGGGGAGCTTAATTTAAGATTTTTTTTGTGCTTTTACTTTATCACAGAGCGCTCAGTGAATAACCGCTGTGGTTTACGAAATAATTTTGGGCAATAATGAAACCTATGTTAAAAAACAAAAAAAAAAAAAACAAACAAACAATTTCTATGTAAGGATGAAGTCTGAGATGTGGCACTGAATTAATACTAATCAACATCTCCTAACTATCAAGGCTATATAGTGCTGCCTTTCTTACGTCACCCTCAGGGGACCAGCGCGGGGCGCAGACTGGGCACGAAGGCTGCGTCACCGATCGGCCGGAGCTCGTGTGTTCCCTGATTGGACACGATTCTCAGCCGAGCGCTGACGCATCTCATGAATCCCATCTGCGCCCCGCGCTGGCTTCCGGAGGGTTGAAAGTACAGCACTTCGATCTTGTTATCTATACTTGTTGTGACATTAAAGGCCGGTTCTCACATGCAGCGGAGCGCTGATGTAGCGCTTCTCACGTGCCGTCAGCTACTTATCGTCTGCCATGAGCAACAGTTTTGACGGTGCGATACAAAGCTGGTGAACGCTCCCGTCAGCACGCGCTTAGCGCGAGGTAAGCGCTATGCTTGTAGCGCTCCGCTGCATGTGTGAACAGGCCTTAAGAAGAAAAAAAAAGTTTTACGCATTACTTATGCGCTGCCCGAAGTAGATCTTACGAGAAATTGTTGTCGAAGGAAAAAGATGTGCTTTTGGCGTTTGAAACTTGTACGCTTCAATGAAATGACATAAAACTAATCTAGGATACACCTAGTACATGTATCTTAATTCAACGCATGAAAGAGAAAATTAGTAACGTTCTGTAAGGAGCCGGATTTTTTTTTAATATGCTTTTTGAGGTAATTACGAGAGGGTGTTGGCTGAACACGATGCGAGGATTTGGAACGTCATGCTGTGTGCCGCATCCCAGACTTCATTTTACGATAAATTGTTTTTTACAGTCTCCCCGTTCGTCGAGCTTCTTCCATCGAACGCTCTGATTGGCTCTCCGCTGTCTTTGTGCGAAACTACACGCACGGGTATGGTTTCGCACAAGCACCAAAACAACGGCGCGCGGATTGAAATTTGCAGTGCACACCGAGTCAGACCACACTAAACACAAACGCAAAAACATCGAGGGGCTTAAGGGCACACTATATCAAAAGCGCGATCACACAATTTGTAGGTCGTACAAAAGACACGGCGTTTGCTGCAGACATGATGACAAAATTAAGACGGCTCAAGCATGTTCGAAGCCTGCATGTTTGCTTCCAACATGCTTCGAAGATGTCTACAGACAGTTTTTGCATGACAGATGCGACAGTCATACAAAGAAACACGTCTCAGACAGTGTCCCTAAGGACTGTCTTCTATGCATAATCGATGTGCAACGTCGTGCTCATTGGCCCATAGTGCTCCCTCCTCAGATTCAAGTTTCATTTTCGAATTGAGGTTCCAGGTTCGAAACGCGTACGTTGTAATTAGCTTTTACTGCCCAGAAAGGTACGTCGTGTAGCATGTCGAAACCAGTTTATTCCGTCCGAGTGTCTATTTTTGTTAGCCAGGAACCTATCATTAACGTATATTTAGAAATACGTTCATCCATTCTTCAACATCGGAAAAGCGTTTGATTTGCTCTTGTTATGGTAAGAGTTTCAAAAGTGATCATACAGAGAAAGTGCAAGAAGTCTGAGCTCATTTATTTAACAAAGTGCAACTATAACGGTTAATAATTAAAACTCCTAGTATAGCGATTATTCGACGACTGCGTTTAGGAACCAAGAGAACATCCTTGAGGTCTACCGACGCACAAGGACGGGGAATAGTATGAAGATAAACGTAAGCAATCGGAGAGTTGAAGTAGGCGTGAACTTCTTACACAACTGCAGAGAGCGAAACTCAGGACAATATGCATTATAGTACTTAAAGGGCTTGGTGCTCGTGTGCAGTCTTCCATTGTTGTATGTTGTTACACTTTCAGGCGGCCCGACGCATTCTTCGTGATGACAACGTGGCTGCTTTCTCAAACAACAATGCCACAGTCATCCGCCAAGTCACGCGGAGATCCGAACCAGCCGCACACCTACACGAGGCACGGACTCGTTCGTGGATTGCGCCTGAACATCGGCAGTCGTCCCGTGGACGCTTACTACGGCATTCCCTACGCCGAACCGCCGCTTGCCCAACTGCGCTTCAGAAAACCACTCCCGCCGTCGTTGTGGAAGGGCATCTACTACGCTACGAAGAAGAGGCCTCCCTGTTCCCAGAAGTCCTGGGAACTCACACAAGGATTCACCATTGATGCGTCCAACAGCACCGAGGATTGTCTCCACGTGAACGTATGGACGTCCGCGAGGTACTGCTTCAGCCAAAACATCGGCCTCTGCAGCTCCAAGGCAGTGATGGTGTTTCTGCACGGTGGTGGTTTCCAGTTCGGTGGAAACAGTTACTCCATCTATGACGGCAGGTACCTGGCGCTCTTGGGTGACGTCGTGGTGGTGGTACCCAACTACAGGCTCAACGTGTTCGGGTTTCTGAACGCCAATGTCACGGACGCCCCGGGTAACATGGGAATGTACGACCAGATTCTGGCGCTGAAATGGGTCCAGAAGAACATTGCCATGTTCGGTGGTGACCCAAACAGGGTGACGCTTTTTGGGCAAAGTGCTGGTTCCGTGTCGACGGGCTACCATCTGCTGTCTCCGCTGAGTAGGGGACTGTTTCGCAGGGTGATTATGCAGAGCGGAACGCCTTACTGGAAGGTGCCCGACAACACATTCACCGGGAAGCTGAAAGTACAGCAGCTGGCGATGGGCCTCGGCTGCCCCGTCGGCGAGAAGGGCAACGTTCTGGCGGAACCCACCAGAGTGATCGACTGCGTGCGCTCCAAGAGCAGAGGCAGGATATACAGGGCCATGAAAGACGTTTTCGGGGTCGAAGAGAACTACATGATCCCCGCGTACTACAGTGAGTTCCTTCCTTTTGAACCCGTGATGGCTACGGAGAAAGGCTTATTTCAGGATGTAGATCTCATGATCGGCAACGTCAAGAATGAAGGCACCGGCATAGTTGACCATTTCTTCTGGAAGATATTCAACTTTAAGGACTACACCAAGATTTCAGTGGACGAAATCTGGTTTTACAGTCTGCTTGTGTTTCGTGTGATATTGGGCAAGAACCCGGGTCCCATTCGAGAACTCTATTTGAACGATCTAAACGACACAGATTCAGCGCTGGCGCTGAGTCGGCTCTCGGATGCAGTTGGTGACTTCAGTCTCATCTGTCCATCCCAGCTGTTCGCCGAGGCCTTCGCAAAACGCAAGAACAACGTGTATTTCTACCTCTTCAACCACAGGCCTACGTTCAGCGTGTACCGGAGTTGGACAGGTGTGACGCACGGGGACGAGCTCGGTTTTGTGTTTGGTTTCCCACTCCTGTTTCCTCAGCAGTCAACGGACGAAGAGAAGATCCTCTCTAGAAGGTTTATCCGGATCTGGTCGACGTTCGCCAAAAACGGGTACGTTGTGTGCTTTCTCATAAATGTCTTCTTACAGGTATCTCGCCTCATGCACGGAACGACTGTAGTTGTATTTATGAGGGGTAGAAACATACATAGACACGCCTTATTGCAACGGCCGCATTGCCGGGCATGATTAGCACAAAGACGACATAATTACTTTGGCTTATTTTACTCGTAGAAAAAAGTGACAAAAGCCAATTGTTTCAACCTAAGTCCGTGTGTTGAATAGGCATGCTCCATCATACTAGAAGTTTTTTTATTTGTGTGAGAAAAACGGAAAAACCTGACAATTGCTTGTACAAACCTTGTGCTCTGTAGTTCGTACATACCAGTAACTGTGATTCATAAGATATTACCTTGTAAAAGCACGTGCTTATGCTAAGTACTTTGCGCTTGTAGATACCAGTAACTATAATTCATTAATATTTCTTATACCCTGTAAGAGACATTTTTCTGGAAACAGGCATTTATGAACGCACAACGTTTTTCACAAGAGATAGTACATTAAAAGCTGGCACCTGAACACAGTATTGTGGATATAAATAATGCCAAGCGAACGCCCAGCTGCTGAAACATTACAAAAATGTATTCTCCCGAGATATCTACATAAGGTCTCACAACCTTTGAAACAGCAGCGGGGGACAATATGTGAGTGAAGCCGTCTTGGTTTTTAGGTGTTCAGACTGTCAGACCTGTCCCGACATGTACGCTCCGAGAAAGCGCTCTTATCGCCGTTCGCCACTGTTTTGGCGGATCAGGTCAACCCGTGAGACATTCCGTTTATGGGTTTACTATCGATAGTATAGTTTCATATTACCTATGAGTTATCGCGCATCCTCTAGCCGTAATGGTGCTCGCGCGATATTATATTTCTACGTTTGGGGTCAATGCCTCGTAATTTCTTTAACAACGAAACTTTTTTTTTTTTCAAGAAAGTTCTTCAAGCAACGCTGGGGGCCGCCATATTTTGGGAATCGCTTTCTGCGCGAAGCGTGGGATTGAACCTGAGCTAGCGCCAAGCGCTCTCGCAGCCTTCGCGTCAAATACATTTGGACCCGAGTAAGCACCAAAAGCTGACCCAGCTAGATCGTGTACAATGCACGCTCAAAGTGCATGCCCGAATTATGCTGGCCTGAGATAATTGACGCAGCACCTACTCGAGGGTGTATGCCTTTGAAAAGGGTCTATTGAGCCCAGAGCTTTATACATATTAGTAGTGCATTGTGAATGAGATTCATACTAATATGTGGATTTAAATATCTACAGAAAGCCGCCTACCGTCGGTGGACAGCAGTGGCCGAAGTTCACCAAAGACCACCCATTCTACCTGAACATTAACCTGAAGAACTACTCCCAGGGCCTCGGCTTCCGGAAGAAGATCTGCGGATTTTGGAGAAAGTATCTCATTCCGTCGGGGTCATTGTAAGCTGGGCTTGCAATTGGAGGTTTCGGTCGTGCGATTATCACCCCCTGTCCTGTTATTCATCATATTTTTTATCACTTGTTTGTTTGATTGTTTTGTAAAAGAAAATAGTTTTAAACATCCGTCCTGTTATTCATCATTTTTTTATCACCTGTTTGTTTGATTGTTTTGTAAGAGAAAATATTTTTAAACATTAGATTTACTTGTAAATTGTCACTTTGGATAACTGAATTTTTATTAAGAGTTACAATACATCTGCGTCGAAGGGAGGTGATGACAGGTCACCGCGCGTTGCTCTCTGGCAAAGTCTGATCCACACGTTTATGCTTGGATGTGACCGACAGCGCTGCCGAACCGCTGGTGACTGCTTGCTACGAGACAACTCATTTTCACACTGGCACCACCTATTACGTAGCCGCAAAACGCTTCCGATGTGCGTAAAACTAGACCGACGATTTTGGAGTATTTACGCGATCTTCTCTACGCACCGTCTACGAGAAGTGGTCGGCGGACCAGTTCCACTGCTTTACGATAGATGACGACAGCGATTTATCTCGTCGTAAACAGTGAGAATTGCGGTTTCGACGCAGTCTGTCATTCAAACGCTATTGTGCCAACCAGCCGCGTAACACGCCAAAAACCTCTATTAAGTTGTGACTGACCTATCGTTTTATGTGCTGGGGATGCATTATTCATTCTCTGCTCGGTGCTTACTCACGCACCTTTCAACAACTGCTTCAACCTAACTGAACCTGCGATATCAAAAATAAATTCAAACCGACTTTCTACATAATTTATGCCGTGAGAATGAAAATTCTCCTTTAGAGGTTTTAAGTTTCTGTCGAAGATGCTGATTCAAGCTCACCACAAAAATATTGCGAACATTTTCTTTTTCCAGTTTCTCTGTAGATAACACGGCTGTGTTGAATGAATCAAGCTCTACTACAAAAGGAACATAGACTTTTTTTTTTCAAGAATACCATAACATTTTAACGATTGTCCATGCTCTGAAGGGGTGATTAAAAAAAAAATGACCTCCTTGCAATGTTTCCTACAGACCTTTTTCCCAAGGGCGCGCCATCCCGCCGCCGCGCCAATAGAATACATTTAAGATATGAGCTGTAACCGTAACCCATTCTAATTTTGCCTCCTCTTTCTATCCTTCTCTCTCTCTCTATGTATATATATATATATATATATATATATATATATATATTAATATTGGCAGGTGAAAATGTTTTAATATTATTGTTTGGGACTAGAGTAAACGAAAGAGGCCTATACGCAGTTGACGCTATAATCTGCTGGGACCAAGCAGAGAGCGTCAAAAGCGCACAATCTTGGTGTTCATCATGTTTCCCTAATCATCGCTGAACTAAGAAACGGCCTATTGACTTGCGCTTGTGACTTGGTCCCATTATCTGGTAGATCTGCATCTGGGCATAAGCTGAAACGAGGCATATCTTTCCCGCCTGTCACCCCTAAAAGAGCCGCTTTTTATCATATCTGATAATTGTCTGAAATGAAGAAAGCTGCGCATAAATCGTTACAACCGCTTTTCCTTTCCAGTCTCCTCCCCCATCTCAGGTTTTAAACGTCGTCATTAATCGTTTTTAATTCGGCTTTATTTACCATTCCGGCAATCTGTGGTTATACTCTCCCTCCTCTTCTCTTATATAAATAACCATATTGTATCTCCAGCAATAAAAAAAAAGAAGAAAAAAAAAAAAAGAAGGACGTTTACGAAACCCTGTAACGCCGACTTTAAAGCGCAGCTCTTGAAGAGGAGGAGGGAAGGGTACTGAGGGGAGGGTATACCCCTCCTCCCTCCACACCTAAAAACGGTAATTCACATATTTAGTTAATTGGCCGACTGATGCCAAGCGCTCACCTGAACATAACAAATTATTTCATGACTTTTTTCTAAACTAATTCGTAATTAAGCTGTCACTAGTCAAGCTGGAATTAATCTGTAATTGAGCTGTCAACATCTAAAACTAAAACACTGATAACAAAAAAAAAAAAAAAGAAAAACGCAGGGCATGGTTTTTATGTTTACGCTTCTTGCTCCGTCTTTTGCTCTCGGTGTTCTTATCTCCAAGTGCTGCAATCTCATTATCGCCCGAGACTCGCTACCACTGATCTCTATTGTAGTCGGCTGGACCGCGGATCGGGAGCCCGTCGGCATCCGCACACAAAAGTAGGAATATCGAAGCTTGTACGTGGCGCTCGAAAGCGAGTATGTTATAATGCTCTGCGATCATTATATCGGGTGTTTGAAGATTGAACCGGCATTTATCGAACGTTCATACGCCGATTTAAAAAAAAAAAAAAAGAAAAAAAAAGAAGGAATCAAATATGTGTTGGAGCGTTACGGTATGTGCTGGCGTCGCTTGCTTCTGTTTCTAAATAAGTGACTCGTTCAACCTTTAAACGACACGATCCGAGTTTTAGTTTGTCACAGAAGTCCTCGCTGCAGTTCAAAGAAAGCGCTCGCACCAGAAGTACTCTGTATACACGCGCTTAAAATGAGGCGAATGCTCTCAGTAAAGGCATTCCAACTCATCGTCTGCCAAGCTCCGGTGACTTCGAGATCAGGAACGACTCCACATTGACTCTCGGCGACCCTTGTCTCATTAAACCGCATCACAGTTTACTCCCATCAAAGTCGCAACCCTCACCCTGAACCACGAAACATTTATTTAAAAAAAGGATTGCTATTCTAACGCTTTTGATATTTTCTCCCAGAATATTAACTGTAATTCTCGGAAAATACGATTAAAATATCGTTGAGAGCAACCTACTAAGGTACGAAATTGCAGTTTTTCCCGTTTCTGTGATAGAGTCCCATGCATAAGCTAGTGTCAAGCAGGGTTGTAAAAGTTACTTCAAAGATAAAGTTACAGCTACTTATACGAAAAGGTACCTGGGTACGACCTGGGTACTCGCTTAAAAATGTACCTATTTACAGGTACAGTTACTTCAAAGATACTTCCTTTATTTTCCCCAAATTTGTCAGAGTATATTGGAAGTAAAGCTTTTATAGTAAGGATACACAGAAAAACGAGTTCGATAAATGTGCTTTATTGATGTCAATGCGAGAAATAAGGAAAACCGCATTCACATGAGCATTCCAGGACAAGTTATTGCTAGACATTATTAGAGACGTTACTAGTGCTCTTTAATCTATGTACAAGTATTTACATGAGATGTGCTGTTGGCATAGACCGGGCACCGGCAGCTGGTTGGAGTGAGTCATCAGTTCCATGATTGCTCGCGCGTTGTTCTCGAGACTGTCTGTTGGTTGTCGTCGTCGTTAGTGCGACACCAGACGCACACGCGGGAACAAGATGATGTCTGAGATGCAGCAGTTATCTTATTCACTTAAATGTTCAACTTGATTTTAGAATCAGGACCTCCTCGAAGTGTTTATCTGACATCTTCGATCGCAGTTTAGGAAGAGGGAAGGGAATGTGCCGCTTTTCCCTTTAACGGAAACTGCGCACATCTCTCAAGTTAGCTCCTCCATTGTATAGCTGTCAGAGGAGCTTCAAACAGGCAATAAAGCCGATTCCGGTTTGAGATGAAGGAAGCAGTTTGCTATTTTTTCTAACGAAATTCCGAAGCGATTTGATAAATTGGTGTCGCTAGAACGGCATCGCTAATCCACCGTTCGCTCAAATGTACACTGCCATTCACTAAAGTGTTGTTCAATGAAACATCATGGGCGGGGCTTCGTTCGCTAAAACGTCGTTCGATCAGGTCAGTGCCTCTCAGGTCGTATCCAACTCAACGTTAATCATGGCACATGGTAGTATGTTAATACTTTATAGTTTCTAAAGTTTTGGCGAACTGAATAAAAAAGCACCTGTAAAAAGGAACTTCACTTAGTTACACGCTACCGGAAAATGTACCTAAGATACAGATACAGATACCGAAAAATGAAAGTACCTAGGTTTGTACCTCGGGTACAACGAAAGTACTTAGATACCGATATCGAGTTACTTTACCTAGGTACTTTACAACCCTGGTGTCAAGCGATGGCTGCCGGTGGTGCCGCTCGACCCCAGCAAGTCAAGACTCGATCCGCGATCCAGCCTACTACAGTAGAGATCAGTTGAGTGGAGGTGTTAATTGTTCAAGGAGGCCATCACAAGGCGCGGGCATTTCCTCGTCCTGGTTAACAGAGCACACAAGAACTCCCCCGCACCATTCTCGCGAGAGAATTAAACCATTCACTATTTGGCCTGGAATGAGCATTTCAGATACCTTTGAATATTTTGATCTGGAGCGCCGTGCACTGTTATTAGTCTCAGTTCTATCTTAACTAGCCTGGAAAGAGAATTCACGCTCCAGTAAACCTGCCACCAGGAAAAGATTAACTCGCTTACTGTAATATACAATGAGTACAGCCAATCCGCGTCATTATGACTCGGCTGCATGGGAAAATATTTTTATTTTTCGGACATTAGGTGGGGGCCGAGGAAGGTCGACAGAAATGCGCGTAATTCGTAAAAGCGACACAAACGTGCGTAGCAAAACACACGGAGCGCACCGAATAAATGAATAGTGAAAGCGTATATCGTCTTGCATTCTTTTTTTTTTTTAATTGGATGCGGGATTTAAATAACTAGAAACATATGTAGAGATTAAATAGGGCACGTTTTTATAATTAAGCGATATAACTCTACCGCGACCTTTAAAAAAGTTAGGAACAAAGATAATGTTTTGGGCAAAGTATTACTTAGAATTTTGTACAAAACAGTTATAGAAAGAGGTTTTTTTTTTGTTTTTTTTCAGCGCTATAGCATATTTGAAGGGCAGGCATCAAATCTCGAATTGTTTTGTGCTCGGTAATAGGAATATTAAAGAAAAGTTGATTAGCAAAGTTGATCTCTTCCATTCGTATACCGATATTTGCAGCGGTCGAGAACGCTATCCCAAATAAAATATCTACGTATTTGAAGTGCCCCCTTTTTTATATCATATTAGTCGTTGGTGAA